TGAAAATAAAAGTAAAACTTACTATGACAGAATCCGTTAAATTATCTTGCTCCAGTTCAGGCTGTCTAAGCGATTCACTAGTTACAATGTGTGCTTCCTGAATAAAGAAAATGTAATTAGAACTGGAAATTTAATTCTAAAAGTAAATAGCAATTAGAATTAAGAAATTAGAATTTACATTTATGATCAGTCTTAAAGGCTTTGCATCTCTTTTTAAGGTCAAGTTACATTGTTCCTGTTACATTACTCATCCACATTTTTTAGTTCAGGAACCAATTCTAAGGCCGATTCCATTGCTAGGTCAGATCGATGACAGTAACACCATACAGTTAGTAGTTTATGTCCTAGATAGTCCTCTAGCAATTTCCAAACTAGCCACTTTCTCTTCCAGTATTGTCAGCTTCTCCATCAGTTGTGACGCCAACTAATAATTCGGTTGGAACAAAAGATTTTTCACAAGTGTTGACCGTCGCCTCGAGCAATTCTTTGGCTCCTTTCGATTCTGGCTGACTAACTCATATGAAACAACTGCGGAGTACTGTAGGTTGATCCTTGGTAACATACTTAGCAACAACATACTTCATGTCTTGATTACCACGATCTACACTTCCATCAATCTGAAGAGATATGCAAAGAGCCGATTTAAACTCGTCCCGAAGTTTCTTCTTCTCTGTATCTCCAATAACGTGAAGCATTTCAGTATAAACGACGTCATCCCTGTATTGAAGTGCAGAACCACGGGGCTGAAACTCATCCAGCTGAATTTCCCAGTCATTCGAATCATTCAGCTGGGATTGTATTGATTTTATCTTGTCGATGACGAGTACGACATGTTATATTTTTTTTTCTCTTCATTTGTTTATTATTTGGTTAGTGTTCAAGTGTGTGCAAGTTTATGTGTTGAGTTTTTGAGCGCTGCTGTTTTTCTTTTTGTTGTCGTGTTTTTTTTTTTGGCGTAATTGAAAAGCGGTTTTCTACCGAATTGCGCCATTTTTCCAGAAAGAATGTTTTGTGATGGAAATTAAGTTTAGTTTTAAGTAAATTAGTTTAAATTAGTTTTTTAGTAAATTAAGATTAGTTTTGTGAATGTATTGATTTAATTTTTTTCTTTGTTTTTTTTTATTCTCTTTCTGGAAAATAAATGCATTATTATTATTATTATTATTATTATACTAAATGATAACGGACCTCGGAGAGAAATTTCGAAAATTC